CAACATAATCCTAAATTTCATTTTAGATTAAAATTCTGACTACACTAACCATTTGGTTCACATATTGGTTCATCTATAATTACAATATTACATAATCAAAATCCTTTTCAGTTGCCGATGCAATTTGAAGTAATTCCTTAAAAAAAAAAAAAATTATTTTATTCGACAAGATAAGTTTGCTACGATGATTATAGAATTAGATAGACGAGATCTTTTTATTCTTTTTTTAAACACCATGCTGGAAAGATTACTACTGATTAAGAAACAATAAGTTATTTTTGAACTTGTGGTTTTTAAATATGCCGTGAAATTATATATCAGTAAAAGCATGTTATTACTGATAAAATGAAAAGAATAATATAATTAAATACAACAACAACGACCCAATAAAATCTCACTAGTGAAATCTGGGGAGGGTAGTGCGTACGTAGAACCTTACCCCTACCCCGAGGAAATAGAGAAGCAATAATATAATTAAATAGTACTACTACATAAATTTAAAAAAAATTGTTTTTTTTAACTGGGATTATGCAAACATTTTTAACTATATTTTATATTAATCTCTAAATATATTTTCCTAAGGACATCTCCAACCTTTACCCCATTTTTGGTCCCCAAAATGGGGATTTCCCCATTTTGGGGACAACTTACTCCAACCATTCCCCCATTTTTTTCCCCAAACTTTTTTATATTCTTCTAATTCTTCTATATTATATTATTATCTTTCATTTCAATTTCATTTTTTAATTTCCATTAAACAAATTCCATATTTTATTTTTATTAATTTGTAATTTCCATAATTAAAACAATTCCATAAAATTTTAAATAATATAATTTGTAAGCAATTATTATAGATTAACTAATAATTCAAATAAAAGTGAAATCATTGCGATACAAGATTAATTAAATACATATTACATAACGATAAAATTCATTCGAAATACTAGATAAATATTCAACTTCAACCTCTAGTATTCTCCCATAGATGATCTATTAATGGATTACGAAGTGCAAAATGAGCATCTTTGTCCTTAATTCTTCTATGTCGAAATAAAAATTCTTGAAATCGTTGATTTTCATCTACTGTCATTTCTACATGAAAATAATAAATGCACGAAAATTAATTTATCAAAATTATACACCAAAGTTAAGATATAATATTAATATTATAAAGACATTACATAAACATAATTAGGTATATATAAAGAGATAAATTAAATAATAAAATAATAATAATAATAATAAAGTGATAAATAGTGTACCCCATATTATTAATTTGTAGTTTTGTACGATACAACTACTTCCTTTGATTTGAAATACAATACTACCACTCCCTTGATTCGGATCGAGCCAGCAGAGTAAAACCTGAAAGGAAGCGGTCGAAAATAGATACTACTCCTTAATTTTTATGTTAGAGCCAAATTATCTTTCGCTTGTAGTGAAATTCTGGCACTTGCCATTAAAAAGTAACAGTGTGTTTTACTAGCGCCAGCTAAACTTAGAGCAATTATAAAGTTTAATCATTGGATTATACAACACGGCCACACCTAAAACAATGTAAAGGAACAGGATCTAGGTGGAAATGCCATTGCAAACTATACCAACGGTAGAAGTTTGACTAACATGCACATTTAAACATGAGAACACTGTCCCGAAGAAGGATATTTGACCGAGTCCATAACCACAAAGTTCCGTACCGCGTGCCAACTGACATAATTATACGAAGGAGCTCCAGCTCCGTATATTATGCTACAACTTTCTGTGTGCTAGAGTTCCAACATAATATGATGAAAATTTATACGCAGGAGCTCTATAATCCAGCATATTATGCTGGAACTTTCCGTTCTTCAACAAAACAATGACTATTTTTCAATGATTCGCAAATGCTGGCAATTTTTCAATTACAAGTGCAAAAACTAACTAGTCGGTGCTATTTTTATGGATGTCACGGTTATCAAAAAGAAAAGAGGGTCTTCTGCGACAAAAATGATTTCGTGAATCATTTCATTTAAGGAACAGATTTATACTGGTCCAAGTAAGACGGTAAAAAGCAAAAAGTAGACTGGATTAGATTCAACAACATGATTAAGCCAACCAGCCCAACCTGATCTATTCCTTACACATCTCTGGGATATTTTTTTGAAAAACTAGTTCAGTATAAGACATGTATAAGCAAGTCAATTATCTGTTGAAAGAACTGCAATGAAGAATTGGAAGATGCAGTGCACATTTAAAGACCAGTACAAATCAAAGAAAGATCTATCCGGTGCTAGGCATGGGATCTGCTGGAAGGTGTTTAGAAGATAACTATGAGGGCACAATAAAGTTGACATGAGTTGGTATGGTGGTTCTAGGTAGGATTTCACTTCGGAATTGCTGACATATTGTAGCAGTTCTTCATGCAATCAACTTAGCATATGAAGAAGGAACGATAACAAGAGAACCGAGAGTCACGTGTAGACAGCAAACAAGCTAAACGACATTGAGGAAAATTTCTGATACATTGGCCGTATCAGGCCACAAGATGTAAAGGAGCACTGACAAAACGACGAAAGACATTACTCATGCTAGAAGAGCCTCAAGTGCCTATGGCACCAATAACAGCACAATCTGCTGGAACCACATAGAATTGCAGAAAATTGCTACAGTTTGCTCCATACTCTTGGTTAAGGTGATGTTTTGCTCAACCTAAAACTATTGAGGCAAAAATAAAGGAAAAATATCTGGAGAAGGAGAGTGTGAAACCTGAAATTGATGATAATTCCTTTCAGCAAACTAAGGACTAACCCCAAAACAAATCAGCAAATAGGTCAGCAGATGAACATCTGTATATTATTCCACAATATTCATTCAACCTAAAACTAAGTTCTTGTCCAAA